TGGGCTAACATGAGATGGTCTCACAGTGTGGCGCGAGCTTATATTAATGTATAACATGTTCTCCAGTTCCCACAATGTGTTGTGGGCTAACGTGCAGGCTGTTCACAAAGTGCAATATGGACTATCGTGAGCTATTATCATAGTGATAAATGGGCTTAAATTAGATGTTCTAAAAATTTGGTCTCGGCTAAACGTTCTCAAATAATTGAACTCTCACATACATTATGTATGTGTTTCAGGTCACTTTTGCATACAGAATAAATTGTCACATATAATTTCATTTCATTTCATGTGTGTGGACCCATTAGTACAAGGCTCAATTCCCATACATGTGTGTGGACCCATTAGTACAAGGCTCAATTCCCATACATGTGTGTGGACCCATTAGTACAAGGCTCAATTCCCATACATGTGTGTGGACCCATTAGTACAAGGCTCAATTCCCATACATGTTTGTGGACCCATTAGTACAAGGCTCGATTCCCATACATGTTTGTGGACCCATTAATACAAGGCTCGATTCCCATACATGTGTGTGGACCCATTAGTACAAGGCTCAATTCCCATACATGTGTGTGGACCCATTAGTACAAGGCTCAATTCCCATACATGTGTGTGGACCCATTAGTACAAGGCTCAATTCCCATACATGTGTGTGGACCCATTAGTACAAGGCTCAATTCCCATACATGTGTGTGGACCCATTAGTACAAGGCTCAATTCCCATACATGTGTGTGGACCCATTAGTACAAGGCTCAATTCCCATACATGTGTGTGGACCCATTAGTACAAGGCTCAATTCCCATACATGTGTGTGGACCCATTAGTACAAGGCTCAATTCCCATTTATGTTTGTGTACCCATTAGTACAAGGCTCAATTCCCATACATGTGTGTGGACCCATTAGTACAAGGCTCAATTCCCATAAATGTTTATGTAATCCCGTTTTTTCGTTAAATTCAACACTTTAAGATATTTTCAGAAGTTTTCTGGACTTTTTGTTACATGGTTCAAATCTTACTGTTTGTTCGGATTCTTTTTCACAAAAAATAATTATCACAGGGGCCATAAAGCCTTTGACGTGCCCGTATGAAAGATAGGAGTTAAAATATAGAATATTTTTTTTTATTTCCCACATTAGGCAGTGTATGCACCTGTAAAAACATTCTCCAGATACTAATCTCAAGGGACTTCTCACAATGGTCATGGATGTCTCACTTTTTATATGATATATATGTACCAGTCATACATGTAGCCAAGTCATGTTCAAAATTCTATCATTCCTCACTCTATTCCTTTTTTATCAATTGACTTTTCTGAACATTCTACCGACTCTTATCGTTTGTTATTTTTTCCCCCAGTATGACTATAAGGTGATTTTCAAATGATAAACTCGACAAATATAACTAGTGATACACCTGCATCATCTCAACTAGAAATGCCATTTTGACAATTTCTACGATCATACCAAGAAAATTATATTAACTTTGCGGATATTTTAAATATGCGTTTTCCACAAAAGTAACAATTACTACATGTATCGAGATAATGAACGTTTATGTGTAAAGTTGATATGTCTGACATTGTTTAGGATTGATCTCGTATCGTTTAGTAGCCTTCGAGGAAAACTGATAAGCATCATCATGTTCGCTGTTGTCTTCAATAATCGATCGCACTGCTGTTTTTCTGGCGATAATAATAATGAATGTGTGTAATTATACCCCCGTAACGAAGTTAGGGGGTATACTGGAATCACCCTGTCTGGATGTCTGGATGTCTGTCGTCCTCAGTAACTTGTCCGAAAAACTCCTCTTTAATTAACAGTGCCCCTTTGTGCGAAATACTTGTCCATGTGTAACTCCTCCTTAACTAACAGGTGGATTTCATTGAAATCTTGCATGAATGATCGGTATCTTATGTTGTTGTGCACTGGCATTTTAATTTTGGATTTGGACTCTTTTTGATGGAGTTTTGTGCGAAATACTTGTTTATTTTTTTGTTATTTTATATTTTTGTTTTTGATAAAATAGTGATTACCATAACTCATTACTGGTGGGAGACTATATTGATTTGCATAAGTAAGCCTTTAGCGTATAGTTCTGGTTTATATAGCAGCGGGGTATTAGTAAGCCTTTGGCTTACAGTTCTAGTTTTCACTGAGTATAGAAAAATAAATATCGTTCTTTCACAAAAGCAATCTAGTTAAGATTTCATCTGGGCCGTAATTCTAGATAGAACAAAATGAAACACGAACGCCGACGGGTTTCCCAGCCGTACGTTGTTTCGTAGAATACATGTAGTCGCTATGTTTCCGGGTCCGCCAATGCAAAGCGCCCGTGGGTTTAATTTCGCTCCAGTGACACAAACTTTAATGGGTTGGGTTTGATATAATTACAGGTTGTCTTGGACTGCCAACTTGTCACGTGTGGCGGGTATCTCCGAGTAGACTAATACCTCTGTCCCCACGGCAGCCACTCTTTAATTGAATGTCTCCCAACAATTGTTTTAAGGACCATTTTTTTGATTGAAATTGCTGAGAAATCACGTCCATTTTCACAAGTAAATTACTAGTCTTCTTCCTATAATGTTGATAATATGTAATTACGACCAGTTGTGTATCCCCTATACAAGATCATCTAATTATTCGCTAGAAATCGTGAGTAATTTTTCTGTCGAAATATTCCGATGTTTTAATCTTGCCTCTCGAAGACAAGATAAATTTTCGTTGTCATTTCAGTAATTGCATTATGGGATTGCTAGTAGATTGAATCTCCAATATCTCCATCAAGGGGACTAAAGGATGGCCTGATTCGCATTCCTCCCAAGTAATAAGAGGTCTTGAACGAATACTTGAATGAGGTCTAGCTTGTATCGCCTCAGGGGAACGCTGTTCTTTACAGAAATAATTCCTCACAGGTTCTGTCCAGCAGAAGTCTCCCTACCGATCTCATTTTTAACTCATTTGTAAGAGATGTTCATTTTTCATTTTTTTTCAATGATCTATTAAATAGGTGTTGTATGCCTACATTTGCCAACACACAAGAACAACGTATTAAGGGATATGAAAAAACGTTATTAACCCAAACAGCTTATAACAGAAGGAGACGACTCATAAAATTATATTATGTGTCTTATTACAAACACTTGTGTTGTATTCGAAATCGAAATATGTAAAAACATTATTTTACTCAAAAGCATCATGGCATACAGCTCTTTTCTCGATGGCAGTAAGCAAAACTATAATGAATTAAAATAAATGTGTAAAACTTCATGTACAGTGTAGTACCAGTTCAGATGCAATATACAAGTACAATTTCTCTTATATATATGGGCCACGGGGTAACTCCATATATAACAAGGTGTACGGGGCTCCGATGTCATACATAAAATCCGTCAACGAGTCACTTGTGTTAATTTTTTTTATCGATTTTGCCAATCTTTTGTGAGATCAAGGTGAGCAAGGGTTGCTTTTTAAAATAAGAGTCCCTGTACAGTAGGGAACACGAAGAAGTGTAACAAAAGGGGACGGAAGGCTTCGGAGGGTGATGCTTTACATTCCTTTCAGAGAGTATATATGGTTCTCAAAATCATGTCAAAATGCCCTTATTCCACAGTTTCGATATTCTTCACTTATCTTAAACATTATGGCAAAATACAAGCGGCAGTCTAAATTTTCCATTTGCTTATTGTCAAAGAAGATTACATTCAATTGAATTTGTCACTTTTATTTTACTTAGACCTATGATTGTGATTTTTTCACGATTACTATGGAAACATGACGATTAAAAAAAGTGAGAAAACAGAATGGAATGATATGAGTTATTCAAAGTGGACAATTTCTGTCAACTTCACTTACAGTGTGACGTGATCCCATTCAAGTAACATGTATGATAATAAATAGATGGTTAGTTTTGCATTGTACACACTACCAAAAACAGTTTATATGTATATAATAGAGCAAGCGTCAATTGCAGTACCGGTACATCAAGACTATGAACAGAATAATAATTTGATTTAAATGTAGATAGCTCATTATATTGCACTCTGACAAAACAGTTGATTTATGTTCTTTCACAAAGAGACAAAAACACTTAGGGAATATGAAATATTTGAATTTACGTAGGAAAATCGATGATGAGTTACGTCACAGAAAAAAAAAAGAACACAGAGGATTTGGCGATAAGTATCCGCGAGACTTCATGGAAAAACTCCAATGCATTTTACGGATATTCATATTCGCCCCATATGTGACGTAATTAATTATTCTAACCAAAGATAAAATATAGACATAGACATGAGTTCCATTAAGATGAAAAAGATAAGAAATATGACGTTCCTCGCGTACACGTACCGTTATGTTTGTGTCTAGAGGAGGACACGAGGCGCTAAGGTTTTAGTTACTGCGCAAAAACTGCATTACAATAGAGTTAACGGCTGCTGACGTATAGACTTTTGCGCAAACATTGACAGGCGCTTCATACACAGCAATATATTGCAGAATTGAAATCATATACAAAAGATGTATATCTAAATTAAAATAGAAGGCGCTTTGGTTTGGAATCATCAAGAGACTGAAATAGAAATGTTCGTATTTGGTAAAATATTTCTGTTATCATAATTCCTTTGAGTGTTACATTGAATAATAACGCAGGAAATGTCTTTTTCAACATTTATTTATGAACAGTGTTATTTTTTAAGTGTAGATACACATGTTTTTGCTCTGCAATGAAAACGTTCAGCTGAGGATGGATATCGACCTCCTCCAAAACCTGATCCTGAGGCACGCTCGCTATGAACCAAAAATTCAATCAGGTCGTTTTGTATGTTTGTAAAAATGTAATTATGTATCATTATCTGGGATCGGAAATAATAACAGTTTACATTTTTTAAGGTGAGTTTTGTTCTATTTTGATAAATAGTAGCTGAAATGATCTACATAGCCATATAAAATATATTTTTGCATACTTATAACACTATTCTCCTTTGTGTGTCTCTTCAGGGATAAGAAAACCATGGATGGTAAAAATGCCTATCGACGCCGGTCGGTCTTTGGAAAGAGCCGTCAGAAACCAAAGGACAGCCTTATGCGCCACCAGAGCATGTCCCTACCACCGAACATCCGCCTCAACCGACAGAACTCTACACATGTGCAAGCCACTAACTCCAACTCCAACTCCAAACAGAAGTTTCCGTGGACCACCAAGGATCGAACCCCGTCCGAGGACGCTGAAGACAGGCTGAGTACCATTAGTTCTAAAGAGGAGTCGCATAGCCATGGCAGTGACAGGCGGAAGTCGGGCGTCACCGGAAACGGAAATAACAAGAAACAGGACTCGCAGTGTCAGACTGACAATGGTATGTTTGAGGAATACTTGGCGCGCTCTCGCAGCGATCGGGTCGGAAGTTCACTCAGAAGTCGAGCATCAACTGGGAGAAATTCTGAAGGAGCTCAAAGATGTGGGTCCGATAGCTCGATAAATAGCGATGAAATATTTCTGTCGTTGCCTCCAAATAACGCACATGAGAGACGGGGGATGTACAAAACATCTCCTATACATGGCGACAGGAGTCCGCTTCTAAACGAAAGCGTAACACCAGACAAATGTTACGGAAATAGCCTTGTGGCAACACTAGAACCGTACGGTCATACTATCATGTCAGATTATCAAAGACAAGACGTACCTCCTCGAGTGAAAAGTGTTAGCCCATACAATACAGTATATGACAATGCACATTCAAATCCCGATCATCGCATTGAATGTAGCGCTAATACTTTTCTTCATCCTAGTCCTAAGCCTCTCAGAGGTTCATCTGATCCTGTATTTCAACCACGTTTTTCAAATGGCCCCTTCTTAACAGCCACTGTCTCTGCGCCTTTAGGATCTACCTACCAGTTGAAACCGGACGAAAGTTCTCTCTATGGACGTCGCCATAGTGACAACAGTGCCCTCATTATGATCAGTAACCCGGAAACGGTTGTTTCAAATCCGCAAAGGCGGTACACGACACCGAATCGTCGACCTTTGCCACAATGTGACCAAACACAGACCGAGGCTTGTGAACCACTGTTAGAAAGGGACTCTTCAGACCTTTGTAATTCTTCGCCTGTTTATTTTTCCCATTCTGATTGTATCAGAGATAGTAGACTCTTACCTCCTGACAGAAAGGCTGATTACATCAAATTGCCGCCAGAAAAACACGTCTCATCTAGTGCCTTGACTCCGATCCCTGCAGGGGCGCCAGGTTTGAACTCCTACAGGCCCACCAGTAGCGCTACCTCCCCATCTCCAGATAGTACCATGTCGACAGGTTTAGGCAAACTCGAGGAGGAGGAAGTTTCCATGATATCATTTCATTCTTACCTAAAAAGTCGCGGAGTAGACTTGGATATGTCTTCCGTACAGTCAAGTGACGTATAAAATACGTAATCAAACACATCCTTTTTAGTTTGTTCGGAGTTATTTTCCCTCCGGAAAACTTATGTGTTTTTTTCTAAAAGAATCTTTTAATTAATGAGTATTTTACTCGACAGGAACACAAACATTTTTCAAAGGTGCAATTCAATGCAAAGTTGCAAAAATGCAGAATGTTTTCCCGAAGCATGTTATGTAAAAACTAATCTAATAAAATTAAGCATCAAAAACAGGTTAAGCTCATAAAATCACTGAGAGCTGCGAATGACTTTCTAAGATTTGAAAAATTCTCTGTTGACAAGGGCGAGGTAACTTAAGATGTCGTGGGACTTTGTGTGACGAATTGCTTTGCAGAGAATACATGTGTAATGCCCCATTCGTTGTTATTTCCAAGAAGAAAAACTCACTCTTGAGTTAATGGCAATGCGTGCATTTGTATTGATTTCACGTAATGATTTTCTAAATGTTTTATCAAAAGAAATTGAATATGAGAGGAGAATAAAATAGCAGATTAGTTGTTGTAGCTGATGACTGAATGACTTAGAACCTATGAAAGCCTTCCCTGTTTACATGTAGTGAACGATACCTTGTGTTGTCGTGCTAAATTTCAATGTGCCATTAAATTCTATTTCCTTTTCAATGACTTTCTCAAATTACCTATCTATTGGAGTTGATTTTAAAATGTTTATTTCTTATTTTTTATTACGTTTAAAGCAGGTTATTTTTCCTGGACTGAACTATAAATACATTATAATCTGAATTGTTTTCATCAAACTTCTTCCTCATTATATGATGAATTTCTCACAGAATGTTCGGGCATACGAGAGTAATCAAATCTTTTTTATACACTGAAGAAGTCGAAACATGTCAGGCTCAACTTGATGGATTAACACTAATTGAGGATTGGGGACACATCAACCTGAGCAATTTTTGATAAGAGATTGACGTGGAAATTTCCACTGAAGTGACGTCTAAAATCATTGACGTTCCACTTCTTCTATCAATCCGCCATTTTGTCTTCACATCCTTTATTGCTCATTTGGGACTGAGCGATTGCTGTTCTTGGCGTTCTTGTAAAACAGTTCGCATATCATTTTAAAATAATCTCAAATCCTATGAGCGCCAAACAGTCTCATGATGCCAAAGCTTTGTAATAAAACTGGGATTCTACTGGAAACAAACATGCAGGTGATCACGATTGTACGGATTTTAAGCTGGTTACATAAGTACATGCGTACTGATAAAGTTATCTAGGCCACTGAACAAAAACGGCGAGACAATGATATGAACAGACAATCATATACATATTTTCCAAGTGGCAACGACAAAAGACAAAATGAATTAAAAACTGACCAAATAAGAAAGATAACGTACATGTATTCAAAATACAGTATGAGGTGTCAACGATTGACAACAGACAATACACAAACAAACTACATTTGTATCGGTAAGATATGAAGCCGCTACATGGACGATTAAAAATGAGATCCCTCTGGTTTTTATCAATATTTAAAAAAATAATTATTCTGGTATGTAGGAAGTTCCCAATTTTTCATTCATTTCACATGTGGAAGAAAATGCTTATGACAAGTTCTAGAATATCAATCAAACAGATAGTTTTATACTTATTTTGGCCCGTTATGTAAGTAGCCGTATTTGGTTTAACCATAACTGCCTTTCTTTATATTGATATGGCTTTATAACGGAAAGGTAATGACGCTGTTATTGATTGGGTGAATCAATGTAAGTTGTTTACTAATTAAGCTTTACAGCACATTAGTCTGAGATACACGTTGTAAAGCCCCAGACTTATACAAATTATGTCATATAATATAAATAAAAACAACACAATAAACTGCTGTCAACGATATAACGGGGTGAAAACACTCAGTGATTGTTCTGTACTATTTGATAACAATATTTCTGATAATTCCATTAAGCTTGTGCTTCTAACAAAATATTTTGTAAAATATTTCTTTCACAATTTTGCAAATATCATAATTTGATATAACGTTTATTTCGTATTATATATCTTGTAGTTGATAAAACTGAAACAATCCCTGTCTACACTTAACAATTGAATGTCTCTCCGTTTCGATTTGAAGATACTCTGATGATAGTTGATTGCATTTTCTTCCAAGCTTTGATAAATTACGTACAACTACATAGAAGTGTAAGGAATATTCTTAAAATAGATACTCACAACAGTTTATTCCTTTTAGAGAAGATCTTATCACATATCAACAATTCTCTGCTAAATTATTTCATAATCATTACTTTGCACCCGTCCTTAAATGTTCTTGGCTTGGTTCTTACCATAGCTGTTAATAGGACGTAAAAAAACCCACCAAACAAACAAAAATTGCTGTTGCAAGGATGTGAAAACCCAAACAAACAAAACAAAAATGCATTGCAATTACCACAGACTCTGCTTCAACAATTGTCAACCCTTCCGTAAGGTAAAGCTGAGAAAGACTGGATTTAAAAGTAAAACCGTCCTATAAACCACACATAGAAAAGAGTCACTGGTTTTCTTACTAAGTCGTCGGGATGTGATTATGAAGTTTACAAAATGCAACATGTTTCTTCAATATTAGCCTATTTTGGAAATATTAAAGTCAGTAATGTATGTCAATCATGCTTCTTAGGGGGCACGGTAAGACGCTGGGATCGTGGCCGAAGCGTTGCGGGTTCGAGTCACGGCAAAGCACTGTGTTATATCTTTGAGTAAGATACTTTACTCCACTTGTTCCAGTCTACTCAGCTGTAAATGAGTACCTGGTTGGGCAGTGCTAGAATTGTTGAATGTTAGCTGTGAGCACCAAAATGGAAGCACTGGATGTATGCTTCCTAGCGAGTTGAGAAAGATGTTGGCTGGTTGCAAAGGCCCTATAACCACGGATACTAATTTGTGAACCGCTTTGAGGCGACCTACGATCTAGGTTGTGATAAAGCGGTATATAAGAACCTCGAATTATTATTATTATTATTTCTTATTTTTTTATGAAAAACAGCGAGAAACATTTTAAACCCAATTATTAAAGACAAAACACATTAATAAAACACTGCATTCTATATTCTTTGTTGATGGTGAACAAATCACACTTTTTATCATCGTTATCAATAAAGCATGCGAATGTATAACGTGTACTTTTATTTCGAACTACGTAAGAGTATGCTGGTGATAGATATTCCACAAACCAATACGTTTGACTTGAGAAAGCTACCCGCAAGGTCATACATCAAACACGCTCTGTGCAGTCACGACCATTAAAGATGTCTCAGCGGTTTGTATAACAACGTAACTTACAATGTGGAAAAATACACACATCTATGAATACAGTTTTATCGTATTCTGCAGAAAACAAAAGTACCATTGCCTTATTTATGAATTCTTATTTTCTTGACGAGCACAAATTTGTTTCTTCGAAAAGCGTTAAAGATTTCCTCGTACATTTTGCATATACATTTATCAAATTTTTCATAAATATGGTTCTGTATGTCGATAGCAAAGCCAAAATATGTCAATGAACGTGTCGAAATCTGGGGATACACGATCGAGGATTGCGCGACATTACTAATCTACAGCCTCCATCGAAACGAAACTAAATTTATGGATGTTTTGGGTCCTATCAAACAAACGAGGATCAGACAAGGGGCATAGACTGACACGCATCGACAGGGCACAGCATATACCCTGGGTGACAAGAAATGGACACGCGACCGTCGGTCAAAGGATGGAGGAGGCGTCAGATCCTCCCTAAAGATACTAGTTCACAAAGCGATGATTTATATCAATTTATATTACGTTACATAACTCAGCAGTTCAATGTGGTTTTCCAGCAAACACACGCCTGTGTACAGTATACACGCCAATGTAGACGTTCATATCACTATCTAAACATAAACACAACGTTTTGAAAATGTTTTTTTCTAAATCATCTTTTGGTGATACAGCAGGAATGGTTGCTCAATTTCTGAGCCAGAGTAGTAGGTAAAGACATATGTGCATACTTTAGAAGCACGTTTGATAAACAGCGAATAACTGAAAGGATGGTAGCAGAATACAGTGAATAATATTGATGCTGTAAATATCAACAACCTCCGTCTTTTATTTTCACATTTTTTGTTTACATCCGCTTCATTCCATCACAATGAATCAGCTCATATAACTACATATATAGCGAGTTATATCTCCTCCTTATCTGTGGATACACAAATCACTAGCCACATCCTAATATAGTTGACTTTTCTATTTTTAGTTAGATAAAGAACAGTTGAGATACAGTGATTCAACGACATCATTATCTCGAAAGATGGGACATTCCATGGATTTAAGACTCATCGACCAAAACCCCTAGTGACTTATAAGCTCATCTAGTGTAATGTGTAGCCCCCAAATGTTTCCCGCTGCTCTGGATAAAGACAATACAGCAAAGTGTCTCTGTCAAATTAGTTAATTCCATTCGAGATGAAATTGTTTCGACAAAGGTATTTTCGATTCTGTTGTAATTTAATGTTGGTAGACGTTTTCAGAGTCTATGGGAATAAATAGATATGTGATGCTGATGATAAATTCCGAAGTTCGTTGCGGAACATTCTGTTTAGATTTTATATTATAACTGCTTAGTCCTTCTCCTAAGATGGCTGACCATTTCTGGATTACATAAACGTTATGGGTTCGGATCAAGCTTTTGTATGGTTGTTAAAACTTAGCTTCCTCCAATGATGTTCAAATATCAACCCTATTTTGTGTTGTCTTTTTTTCTGTGATATGCTCGTACTGTCATTCAATTTCACGTTCTCTAACTTCCGATATAATCAGGGCGATGCTGACGGTTGATTTCTATTGTTGATGAGCACACAGTACTTTAAGCTCCTGATTTAATGTCTGGATTCCATCCAGCGGGTTATACTGTTATGGGCGACTGGTATGCCTGTTAGTATGATTAAGGTCTCTTTCTCAACTGGTTAGCAGGGACTCGTTTGCAAAAGGCATGGTCAGGTTGGCCGTGCATACACATGAACACAATAAATGGAAATTGATCGAAAATCATAAATATGTCCCCACTTCTGCCAGTCTAACCAAAGTCAGTGAAGCGGAGGATATAGGTCACAGTGACCTACATCTGATATATTGATTCGGCACTCCACGTACGTTCTCATATATGAACATATCTCACTTCCATAACATAGAAAATTCTGACTGCGTACAAATAAGCATTAACACAGTAAATGGATGCTCGTCGGACTGATACTCGTGCACGGTTCAGCAAAATGACAGTCGAGTGATAGCCAATGACAGTCGAGTGATAGCAAATGACAGTCGAGTGATATCCAATGACAGTCGAGTGATATCCAATGACAGTCGAGTGATAGCCAATTACAGTTGAGTTATAGCCAATTACAGTCGAGTGATAGCCAATGACAGTCGAGTGATGGCCAATGACAGTCGAGTGATAGCCAATAAGGTTTTCTAAAAGAAACATGACAGTCGAGTGATAGCCAATGACAGGCGAGTGATGGCCAATGACAGTCGAGTGATAGCTAATGACAGTCGAGTGATATCCAATGACATTCGAGAGATAGCCAATGACAGTCGAGTGATATTCAATGACAGGCGAGTGATGGCCAATGACA